TCGTTGGCCAGACACCATCAGCAACAACTTACTGTGGGAGAAAACAAACCAGATTCCAGTGGAGGAGGAAATCAGGAAGAAGCGGTGGAAGTGGATAGGACTCACACTACGAAAAGCACCTAACTGCGTCACTAGACAAGCCCTCACATAGAACCCTCAAGGCAAAAGGAAAAGAGAAAGGCCAAAGAATACATTACGCCGAGAAATAGAGAAAGATATGAGAGGAATGAACAAACATTGGACAGAACTGGAGAGAGAAGCCCAGGACAGAGTTGGTCGGAGAAAACTGGTGGGCGGCCTATGCTCCATTGGGGGTAACAGGCGTAAGTAAGTAAGTAAGTAAGTCTTCATTAGAAGGATTGACCGGCCTTCCCCAATGACATGGTATAAATATGCTATCAGAAACTTACTTTTATACTTAATTTATCTGCTATAACATTACAGTAATTGTGAAAACACTTGTGACAATTTGATCTTGCCTGTAAACTGGCGTGACTCTTGTAACGTAGTTATTTGAGAATAAATGTACTATTATAAACTGAGAAGCAGAAAGACAAACCGACCTAGGCAATACTAAAACCCTCACTCCTAAGGTCTGATCAAATGCTCGGAGCTGAAGACTTCTGCATCCATCTCTAAATCTCAGCAAACGGGCTACAACTCACACCGGTTGGTTCCCAAAATCCGTGGCGCAGCCATTAGAAGCTGTGGACTGTCTGAGCATGCATGCAACGCCAACAGATGAAATAAGGAGGTAAAATCCTCAAACTTGGATTATTTGTTAACAAATTATCAGCTCTTGGTCGGGAATGTTTACTTCTATACAAAAGTTGGAAGTAATGACCATGACATGGTCATGAACGAAACACATAGGCAGGATGAAAATGAGTTTTACCTACGCGCACATGAGTGAGAACCTTTTACATGATTCATGGACAGGGGGGATGGCGGAGTCTGACGGTAGATGGTCACTGGAAAACGGAGGGAGACATCATCCAGAATGCTATCCTAGACAACTTACCTCTGCCACACCACAAACTCAGAAACAGAAGAACACGAGTCAGGAGCTGTACTGAAAGCTTCCTACAGGCGAAAATGTGAGCCTGGTACAGATGAGAGGTCTCTTTGAATGATTCCCACCGTAGTTCTTACTTGGCATTCAGAAACATATATAATATCAAAGTTCGAAGCGATAAGAGATGCTTACAGACGAATCTAGCTGTCCAATTACAGGCAAACTTAGCATATGTTTAGGTTCATGACGAAAAAAAATCTACGAAATCAGGGTTTGTGTCCCTCAAAGGTTCCAGTAGGGAAGATCTCATCAACCTGGAGATGGCTGATGCCTTCAGCATCAACTTCACCGATTATTTATATCACGCATCCACATGACAGGAGTACTACTCAAACCCAATGCCAGTAGATAGCTTAGGGAATGTCCGAATATCGTACTAAAGAAACTAAAATACCTACGTCCAGGAAAGGCACCAGAGTGTCACAATATTCGCCTAATAGTCTTAAAACATTCGGCGGAAGCCCTCAGTTCACCGATATGTAACTTGTTCCAGCATTCGCTGGAGTGAATGCGAGTTGGTGAGCCCCGACATTGGGAGTTTCACATAGGAACATCTCAAGTCAAACTTCTCTTTCTGATATTGATTAACAATCTTTCAGACCGAGTTGACTCGGAGGCATTGATCTACGCCACTGGAAACCTCCACACCAGCTCAAACTAATTAGGGGAAGCAGCAAAGTCTAAAAGAACTCTTCACTTTATTCGAAGAGCTATTCTTGCCATTTTTTAAGACATATGCGAGCCACACATTGAGTTTCCCATCTATTGCAGAGCGATGTAACTGAATGGGTGATAGGGTTGAAGTAAAAAAACTAACGAAGATGGACTTTAACACTGGGAATCACTCTCACATCAGAGGCGCACAACATATTAAGCACTCCAAATAATCCAAACATGAGCAGCCTCGAGGTAACCCTTAAAGTACGAACAATCAGGTTCGTGCAAACTTCTTGTTGATGGCTGTGACAACTTGGAATGCTCTCTCAGTGTAGGCCATCACAGCCCCCATCAGTGGACTGCCTTAAGCAGAAACTTGATAAACTCGTATTTACATACCGATTTTCATTTTCCTCATGAACACTCTGTGCCTGATGCATGTCTTCAGACTTGTTAGCTGCTGTTACTTCCATCTCCTCAGATCACCAACCTAGTTTATTTCGCTTATAATCTCTGTTCTCTCCCCCTTCCCTATACTTCAGTCCTCTCGCACAATCTTCACTACCAACTAATAAAATAAATTATCCATTATTTATTGAGTTCTGAAATCTTCTTATTATCACTGAAAATTTCCCCTTATTATTATCCACTATTCAGCTAAATGATCTCCGGCCTGATGACCTGATAGCTGCTGGTATCCAGAAACCCAACTGTCTTGAAACACGCGTATTCATTCAAATCACAGGGAGTTCAAATTCACAAACATCTGCCAAATGTCTAGAATTCGTGAGGTCGAGTGTCTAGATCCTCATCCACTGGACACAACCAAACACCTGAATCTGTATTGAAAGAACAAGAATCAAACGCCAAGAAGTTAACTGGTTCATACTAGTTCGTGTGTGATATATTGGATATTGAATCTAGGTCAATGCCAACGCATTATTAGGCGGTACTATCGGTTTATGTGCAAACGTGTTTGTTGAAGTCCGTGTTATTTTCTGTATCATTCTATCATTAAATTAGAAATCTCTTATCAAAAAGTTTAGGCTGTTTTTTGCATCTTTAACTCCGTCTAGTTTTACCGGTTTTAATCCGAGAGTAATCAACGGAGTTAAATTCTCTTCTAAAAGATAACTTCATATACAGTGACTAGTTGCCAGGTGGTAATGAAATCTCTCTTATATCGCAGGATAGGTGTTAGTAGTGTCTTGTGTGTTGTTTGAAGACTTCCAAATAACTAAGGGACGATTTAGGATAATCAGCATTTTATTCTAGCACTAGATAGTTTTCGTATAACCTCATAGTGAAAAATGACTAGCAATAAATAATACAATCAAGGATTTAAGACTTTCTCACATTTTGAAAATACTTTGTATGTGTGTGACAGAGTGGTTTGTTTAGTTCTTTTCCGACTCTACTTATCCTGATGTTCCGGGCGACGTCTTGTGTATTGCCGAATGCTAGTTATTTTTTAATTAGGATGTGTCTGTCTTTCACTTAAGGTTTCTAATTGCTTGTTAAAGTTTCCCAAAATTTATTTGCTTGGTGATTTCTTGCCTGCCTTATCCAGCTACTGCTGGTAGTTTTCCTGTAAATAGATAAAGCCCCTTGATTACTTCTATGCAGAACTGATTGTCAGCAACATTTTTCAGTCGGTCTTGTCTTTGAAATCATCATTCATCCTTTCAAGGATTGTTTAACCAACTCTGTTGGTGAGGCATTGCAGTTCTTAACTGATTTCTTACTTGTCATGTTATGTTTCCGATACATTAACTGTAAAGAATGATTTAAACTCCTAGTAATCAAAGCAGCTGTACTACTATATCTTTGTAAATTTCAAGGAATAACTTCGATGATATTTACGGAGTTGATTTTCAGTTTTTATATTAAGGTAGCTTGTAGCATATTACGCGTATAGATTTATTATGCATTGCTAAATTTTATTAGAAGAGAAACCATTATGATATCGTAACAGTGCTCACTAGTGACTAGCTTCGTGAGGAAATTCTCGGAGTTCTAGTTGAGAGGACGTGACCGATGGAGTTTAACCCTGTCTGGTGTAGGCAGTAACTACCAAAGTCAAATAGGTGAGGTCGTGCAAAATCCGTAGATCAATCAGAGTTAGACATTATCGCCGTTGATTGCCGGGCCAGTGGTCCGATGGTTAGGCGTTCGCGCACAATAACGAAGGTCCTGGGTTCGAATCCTGCGAGGAGCAGGAGTCGTGGATGCGCACTGCTGATGAGTCCCATACCAGGACGAAACGGCCGTCCAGCGCTTCCAGGTTTCTAATGGTGGTCTAACAATGATTGATTGATGATTTCAAATGTGTAAAGACACAAACCTCTAAAACTCTGCCCGAAAATATCTCATCAAAGCATTGATGTATGGCGCCTCAAGAGTGGTGTTTGAATTGTATTGAATTCTTCGAATTTTAACGATGTAATAAACAATTCAAAATAACATAGATCCCAAGGGGACATGTTATCTGCCCATCAGTTTGATGACTAGTTAATTGAATCGTATCAGTCTGTACGGGATTTCGGTTGATATCCGTGCTTAAGTCTTACTCTAGTTGATTCTTTTAAACGTATAATAAACAACTTCATATCGAATGAACCTAAAGTTACTGTTTCTCCCCTGCTTTTGATTTTGTTAGTATTCCTTTATTATGCTAATTCAAGGTTTGGAAACATCATTTGGTTTACGTACTTGTCAGGTTTTAAGCAATATATTCTGGGTCAATTGAACTTGTAGTGTTGCGTTGCCTACAGCTTTTTACCACACTTCTTTAGGCCTGATATGGATTGTATACCAAACCACTGTGTATCATAACGTTATGCAGGCTAATGTACTGGTATTTTCAGTTAAATATCAGTGAGTGAATGGGCAACCTGTATTTTTGTACCAGCTTAAGGTTTATGTTATCTCGTGTTGTATAAGTTATAGGCTATCTAAATAAACCTACTTTGTGTATACTCAGGTATTATATAACTACCGTTTTTCTAATAGCAGCTTAACAATATTTCCATTAAAATTGCACATATCATACCCTTTAGTAGTAGTTTGGTGGTTTATTGTTGTGTTAAGTGAGTCCGAAGAAACTGAGCTTGTTCTTGTTTTTGAGTACGCAGAATTAAACTGCAGATGGTATTGTGTAGCAAATATAGTTTTTTCCAAGCCCTGAGCATTTATGATAAGTTAGATACAAGCAACTTAAATATATTTCCTTAACAATGGTCTTTTTTTCAGGATTTTCAAACCAACGATGAAAGTTAAAGAGTTGGAAAAGTTTGCTCATTCTGCTTGGTCCCCTCTTTCATGTAGTCGTACTTATTTAGCAACAGTCACCGCAGAAGATAACCGTGAACCAACCGGTTCAAATATAAATACAAGGTACGTTTTTGGTTTGAAAAGTTACTCCAAAAGTCATCAAATTAAGTAACAGTGTAAAAATTTGCACAATGCAGCTGGATATGATAAGTAATCAAATGTTAAAATTTCTACTCAAGTTTACTTTCGTTGTGTTCTGATAACGAGATTAGATCGTCGTTGATACCCTGTGTTACTGCATCTTGTAACCGTAGGGAGTGCAATAGTTGGACTTCTTGACTATTTCCCTTACCTCGGTCATCTTATTAATCTTAGTAAGTCGTTGGGTACCAAAATTTCGAAATGGCTATATATTCATCTAGGTTTTCTTGACCGTAGCTGCTGCCTTGAAGTAATGGTCGGGCTTGACTATCGTGATGACCCAACCGAGCTTTATTGGCTAGAACATATGTTCCTGTAGGTTCTGCCATGCCAGGCATGTCGAATGGAGCACGGTGATCAGTCAGTCAGTCAGTTACAACGTAGAACTTCGTACCTACGTACATCATTTCGAACTGCCATGCCACATTAGCACAGAGATGCAATCGTCAGTTCAAATCACATTCTAGTAGAAATAGTAGAAGCATTAGCGTTAATAGGGAAGATTAGGGTTCAAAGAAATTATTCAGGAAGTATAACTCAGCAAAACAAATTAAAAAAAGAGAAAAATTGAGGTGATGAGGAATTCAGATTAGAATTTGAGAGAACACAAAAAGTGGATGCACGTGCTCCATTGCGAACGACTTTAAGCCATGTCATTGAAAGTCTCTAACCATCGGTTACTAGCGTCTCTTGGAGCCCAACCAGGTAGTCTCAACCTACCAACATGACTCAATCCGGTTGTCAGTGACTTCTTTGGTTAGTGCCATGTTTTGGTCTTGCCGCCTCTAGCTTTCTTTCAGCCTACCCCTACATCACAAAACAGCTCATCGAGACAGTCGGTGGTTAGGTGTACGTAACACGTCCCAACCACCCCAACTGATGCAGTTTCAACACATCTGTTGATCTGCCATCCTTACCTAGTACCTATTTCCTAACAACTGCATTGCTTACTCGGTTGTCCTAGGATATACGAGCAATGGTTTGAAGACTCCTATGATCGAATACTTGTAACCTACGAATATCTTCTACCTTTACTGGACATGTTTCGCATCCATAAAGTAGTACGGAATGAACTGCTGTGCAGTAGACCCGTCCTTTGGTTAGCTAAAGGATATCTCGCCTACTCTATATGTGATGCAAGTTGGCAAAAGCCAATCGAGCCTTCTATATCCGTGCTGAGATTTCTTCAGTCATTAGACCACCAACACTGATAAAACTCTCAAGGTAAGGGAAGCGGTCAACACGCCCGATTAGTTTATTCGTTATCACTAGTTCAGGTGCTGATGCAAGCCAATCCCGAAGCAGCATTTTGCATTACGAGGGGGAAAACCGCATCCTGAACATGCTTGCATTGTTACTTTAGGTGTTTAGAAGTTTCTGCATTTTGTCAGCGTCTTCATCGAATAGAACTGTCACTTGTACACACTATGTCAACAAGTGAGTCTCCTGGTAGAAGGTCCTCCCATGAGAAGTCAGACGACGATAATGTTAACTCTTAAAGCATGTCTATAACAAACATGAAAAGGACGGAGAAAGTGGATAACCCTAACAGACACTATTTGAAGTAATGAATTCCCATGACAGTTCGTCATAAGCTCTAACTAGACCTGTGGTGTCCGGGTAGAGAGTTTGTGTAGGGTAGTGTACTTCTGTGGTACACCTTTAAGTGACAGACACTACCACAGAACCTCACGATCAACAGAGTCCAATGCCATCTTAAGGTCCAAGAAGAAAGCTATTTTCGGACCTCAAAATGTGTGTCTATGTTCTAGGACATGACGAAGAGAGAATATTTGGTCTGTCCAGGTTTAGTTAAGTGTCTAAGTATTATCAAGGCTGCCTAACTGTTTCTAGTTGCTACTAAAGTGTATTATTAGCTTTGTTGTCGTTAAATATAACTCTAAGAGGTTTCCTTGCGCTTACACTAGGACATGATCTAAACATGTGCTACAGAATAAGCGACAGCTTTCTGTCGAGTTTATCAATCGGTGGCCGATGGCGATGTGATCTAGTTGGGTCCAGCGTTGTGACAACTTTGGGGTCGCTATGTCTAAAGATATTTTTCCTTGCGGTTAAAGTTAGTATTTGCTAAAATTCGGCGGTTATCTGAACATAGCTGCAACAGAAGGCCGCCATTATCGGTTCTTTGAGCCATGACACCACAGGATCCACTCCGATGTCTTTCTTTTCCAATTTGTCTACCTACTTGAGCACTGACGTTACCAGCCACTATTACTAGATCAGAGCGCCTAACTTTTTGAGGGAGGTCCAAAAGCTTTTTGTAAAACGCATCTTTTACCTGATCTGACAGTTGACAGCGGCTTGTGTGCTGTTTGACTAAACGGGACGGTAAGGATTCGGAAGGACAGGGACACACGCCGTTACCTTTTCGTCCTCTCTGTCTACACTCCCTCGGCACCTAAACTAGTAATAGGGAATGAAGTAGTTGAGCTAATCGACCGCTTCACTTATCTCGGAAGTCTCATCAATCCTGATGGCTTGATGTCTGATGAAATCTCAGTATGAATATGGAGAACTTGACTAGCTTTTGCTTACCCGCGTCTCTTATGGTGTAGAAGTATCCGTCTACCAATCAACGGATGAGTTTACTGTACAGCAGTTCGCTTCGTCCTATTATACGGATGTGAAACATGGTCACTGGGAATAGTAGTCGTGTGTTACAAGTATTCGATCATAAGTGTTTTCGAAGCATCGCTCGTATAATTTGTGCCCATCGAGTAAACAATGCTGGTGTTAAAAAAACAGGTACTAGGTAAAGATGGCAGATCGATTCATGAAGTAGTGTTGAAACACTTATTACGTATTCCAACAGTAAGGGTCTATTGTGTTTAGCTTAGAAATCGGCTGGTAGATAGCTAGCGGCGGCTAAACCACATGGCTCAGAATCGTTTGTAATGGCGCAAGTGCATCCACTTGTTGTGTTCTCTCAAATCCTAATCTTCTCGATTCGTCAACATCTCTACCTTTATCTTTCTAAACTTATCTCAACTGAATTATACTTCTAGAATATTATCTTCAAATCCTAATCTCCATTAGCAGTAATTCTTCTACTATCTCTACCACTATGGGATTTGAATGGACAATTACGTCCCTGTGCTAATTTGGTGGTATGGCAACATGAACTGATGTACTTACACGTACGAAGTTCTACGTTGTAACTGACTGACTAATGTACTTAACAAGTTTTACGTTGCAAACGATACTGACTTTATTGACTGACGAGCTGTGTATACTTTGAACTAATGCAGTTTTACTTCATGAAGATTTTTTTTTTCCAAGACGTACAATTATTTCATAGCTGTATATGCTCAAAATCGTTCGCAATGGTGCATTTATTCTCTGTGTTCTCTCAAATCCTAATCTTCTGGATTCTTCAACCCCTCTAGTTTTGACTTTCTAATCTTTTCTCACTGAATCATACTTCTTGAATAATATCTTGTAATCCTAACCTCTCCGATTACTTCTAATACCTTTACTACCTCTTCTACTATTGGATTTGAATTGACAATTACATCTGTGTGTGCTGATGTGGTATGGCGACATGAACTGATATACCTACACGTACGAAGTTCTACGTATCAACTGACTGACTGACTGACTGTATATATATATTACCTTAGTATAATTATTGTAATTCTCTATGATTTTATTCTATCTATCTATTTTCTTTTTTTCTATCAAAATTTTTTTTTTGAATCAGCTCAAATTCTCCAACATTAGATATATATGAATTCAATGTTAAAGAGAACAATCTGCTATCTATGCAAGTTAATATTAGTATGCCAATAAAACAAAAGTGAGTTCAAATGTTTTTATTTATTGTTGTTTAAAATAAATACATTAATAAGAAATAGGTTCTAACCCCATGCTCAACTCTGCCTCTTTTATCCGGTCTTCGAATCGGCAGTAAAACCTAGAAAGGCTCTGGACGGTGTTGTTACATTCAAAAGTGTCATCATTCAGATGCAACGTAGAACTTCGTACGTAAGTACATCAGTTCATGTTGCAATACCACCACATTAGCACACAGAGATGGAATTGTCAATTCAAATGCGATGGTGGAAGAGGTAGCAAAGGTATTAGAAGTAATTGTAGAGGTGAGGATTAGAAGATATTATTGAAGAAGTATGTGATTCAGTGAGAAAAGTTTAGAAAGTCAAAACTAGAAGTGTTGAAGAATCCAGAAGATTAGGATTTGAGAGAACACAAAGAATAAGTGCACCGGTGCCATTGCGAACGATTCTGAGTCATGTCATTCAGGGTCTCTAACCATCGATTATTATCAGCTCGCGGACCCCAACCAGGTAGCTTACATCTACCAACATGACTCAGTCCACTTGTCAGTGACTTCATGGATTTCTGCCATGTTTTGGTTTGGTCACCCCATTGTTTCTTCCAACCTACTCCTACACCACAAAACAGCTCGACGAGGCAGTCGTTGGTTAGGCATACGCAGCACATGTCCCAACCACACTGAACTATCAAATACTAGTCACTCTCTGTATTGTACAACTGTAAATCAAACATGTGTATGAACTGAGATACTACTTGTGTGGCCGAACTCATGCAGGTGATGTACGTGGGAGACCACACTCATCATGCTTTAGACTTGAAAGTCTAATCCACAAAACAATCGAGCAACATAAGGAGGAAATACAGTCACATGGTAGCCGGTGACCAACAATATGATCAAATACCATTAATTCCATCAGGATCCTGGAGCACATGAGTGCCATTGGCTTGGAATCAGAGTTTTGCAACCACTCTAAATGAGCCTTCGGATACAGAAGGCTCGATTGGCTTTTGCCGAACTGCGTCACCTATGGCGCAGGCGAGATATCCTCTTGTTAACCAAAGGATGAGTGTACTGCGCAGCAGTTCGCTCCGTCCTGCTATACGGATGCGAAACATGGCCGTTAAGAGTAGAGGACTTTCGTAGGTTACTAGTCTTCGATCATAGATGTTTAAGAAGCATTGCTCGTGTATCCGGGGACGCTCGAGTAAGCGATGGTATCGTTAGGAAACGAGTTCTAGGTAAGGATGGCAAATGAATAGATGAAGTAGTGAAACTTCATCAGTTGAGGTGGTTGAGACATGTGTTACGTATGCCTAACCACCGACTCCCTCGTCGAGCTGTTTTGTGGTGTAGGAGTAGGTTGGAAGAAACAATGGGGTGACCAAACCAAAACATGGCAGAAATCCATGAAGTCACTGACAAGTGGACTGAGTCATGTTGGTAGATGTAAGCTACCTGGTTGGGGTCCGCGAGACGAAAGTCACCAATGGTTAGAGACCTTGAACGACATGGCTCAGGATCGTTTGCAGTTGCGCAGGTGCATCCACTCTTTGTGTTCTCTTAAATTATAACCTGAATTCCTCATAATCTCTATCTTTCTCTTTCTAAATTTATCTCACTGAATTATACTTCTCGAATCATATCTTCGCTCCCTAATCTTCTCCATTGCAGCTAATACTTCTACTATCGCTATCACTCTTGAATTCGAACTGACAGTTACGTCTCTGTGCTGACGTGGTATGGCAACCTGAACTGATGTACTTATGTACGACGTTGTGCGTTGCATCTGTCTGTCTGTCTGTCACCAATGCCATAAGTGATGCAAGTTGGCAAAAACCAATCGAGCCTTCTATGTCCATGCAGACATTTCGTCACACACCAGGCCGTTACCACAAATGAGACTCCCGAGATAAGGGAAGTGGTCAACATGCTGAACTTCTTCAACCCCTATGACTATTTCGGGTGCCAGTGCAACCCATTCTTGAGGCAACATTTCGAATTTCGAGGGGGAAGACCGCATTGCGAATATGCTTGGATTGTTGCTCAGGATAGTCAGAAGATTTCATTTTTTCACTGTCTTCACTAAATGAAACTAAGCTATCGGCGTATTCTAAGTAAGCAGGCAAGTTTTCGGGCAGCAGATCCACTCCTCAAAATTCAGACGAAGTGAATCGTTTGCGCCCGAAATCGTTTGCTCTGGCGCAGGTGCATCCACTCTTTCTGTGCTTCTTAATTCTAAGCTTCTGAATTCCTCATATTCTCTATCTTTCTCCTTCTAAATTTATCTTACTGAATTAAACTTTTCGAATCATATCTTCGCTCCCTAATCTTCTCCATTGCTGCTAACAATTCTACTATCGATATCACTCTTGGATTTGAACTGACAGTTACGTCTCTGTGCTGATGTGTTATGGCAACCTGAACTAATGTACTTATGTACGAAGTTCTGCATTGTATCTGTCTATCTGTCTGTCTGTCTGTCCTAAATGAATCCTCCGTATTCACAAAGCTGAATGTTCATTTTTTGTTCTCTCAGTTTCGTAAACCACGACCCCCTTAATGCAAGAAGTCGATGTGTAGGATTTCCACAGTAGCGGCTACATTCACATGGCCATGTAAGAGGATTTCACGAGGGATAGCAGATTTTTCCCACTTTTTGCCTTATCAAGTCATTGAGTAGTGTCTAGTATTACTAGCCTTTATATTCAGAATATGACCAATAATCTCATATCACCACAGGTAGCAGTCACTTGTAAACACCTGTTATGTATAATACACTCAAATTTTTTCGTACAAAGTTTTATTCAAACTGTAGTGGAGGAGAACACAGGTGGGGTAACCGAATTGTATTTAACGAAATTACAGAGTTGCTCAGTAAAATAGGAAAACCATATCGTAAATCATTAATTTGCAAAATATCAGTCCATCATATCGAATTGGAATGTTCCTGTTGCAAAACATCAACAATCCATTGTCACTATTCATGCGTTTCATACAAATTCCATTGTGTTCTAACTCTTCCTTTCTTGATGATCTTCCCCCATCTCCTGCTACCAGACATTACGTTGACACTCACGTCATATACTACTTATAAGTAGCTCTCACCACAAAACTACTACTACTACTACTGCTAAAGTGGAGCTAATATTCAAGACAATCATTCAATCATTATTTCAGCTTAATAAATAATTTTTTAATATGAAATCTTATTTTTAATCGATAATCCTAACCCACATGCACTAACTATCATTTTAAAAATACAGTAATCAAGCGTATAGAAATACTTCAGCCTATCAATGACTAATAATCATCATTCCAACTAGTACCGATAGCTTATCGATAGAGTCAAGTTGTTGTCCATTGTTTTGTTGTATTGATGTGTGCGTATCTATGTGTCCAATCCTACATCGAATCTCTAAATATTTACTTACGATACTTCTTAGGTTTGTAGGTAGTTAAGTAGGTAGGTAGGTGTTCACCACTAGTATAATCCCATATATATATATATATATATATGTATATTATCCCGAATTTATTGATCAGTTCGTTTAATTTTTTTTGACAGTCTATATCTTCCTTTTATGCCTATTTCAGCAGTGTATGGCCAGTATATCGATTATAATTGATTTGTTTATGTATAAAAACACACTGACATTGTTACAGACAAGGCACCAAAATATATGTTCATTGTAAAAATCAATAAATGTGTGTCAGTGTGTGTGTATGTATGTGGTCTGAGATACTATGCGGGTGCCCATACGGAAACAGGTGGTTTTCTTAGGGGAACACTTCATGAGTTTTTGACTTAGATATGTGTAATCCACAAGGCGGTAAAGAAACATTAGGCGATGAAATTGCATAGCTGTTGACCATCAGGAGGATTACTTTCATACACCGTTTGTTTCATCATGATTCTGGAGTCCATGTGTATTTTTGGTTTTGAATTAGAGTTTTTCAACTGACCTAAATGCATCCACCCTACTCATCAAGTTGGTTTCAGTGCATACGGGACATTCTCTTTTTTTATTTTGTCAATGTCGTAAACAATACCGTTAATACAGAAAGCCAATGAATAGAACTTCTGTGACGATAGCTAAGATACCTGTGGCTTCATGAGAGGATTTCGCGAAGGATAGTAGACTTTCCGCACTCTCTACGGTCACAGGGAATTTGGAGGTCTATATGTAAATAGATGAATATTTATCTCATAGTTTGTTAAACTCAAGAAAATTCGAGGTCTTGATTAGTCAGTTACAACGGAGAACTTCGTACGTGCGTAAATCAGTTTAGGTTGCCATACCACATTTGCATAGAGGCGTAATTGTCAATTCAAATCTCATAGTAGTAGAGATAGTAGAAGTATTTGCAGTAATCGGAGAGATTAGGGTCGTGGTATATCATTCAAGAAGTATAATCTAGTAAAAAAGATAAGTTTGATAAAGAATTCAGAGGATTAGGGTTAGATAGAAGCCAAAGAATGGATGCATCTGCTCCACAGCAAATGACATCGAGCCATGTTATTAAAGATCTCTAACCATCTGTTATTATCATCTCAAGGGCCCCAACCAGGTATTCGACGCATACCAATATAACGTGATCCAGTTGGCAGTGATTTCATGGATTTGTACCATGTTCTGGTTCGGCCACCCCAATGTTTCTTCCATCCTATTCCCACACCACAAAATATAGCTCGACAAGGCTGTCGACGGCATACGTAACCCAAGTCCCGACTAGTTCAGCTGATGAAATTTACATACTTCATCTATTGACCTGCCATCTTTACCTAGTACTCGTTTCCTAACGACAGAATTGCTTATTCGCTTGTCCCAGGGTACACGAGCAATGCTTTAGAAACACCTATGATCGAAAACCAGTAACCTACGCACGTCTTCTCCTCTGACTGGTCATGTTTCGCGTCCATAAAGTAGGACGGATCGTCCTGCTGCGCAGTGTACACTCGTTCTTTGTTTAGCAGACAGATATCTTGCCTCCGTCATAAA